GAGTTTGATCCCTGGTACCAAAAAAAAAAGAATAGTTGAATGTCAGAGGATTGTTTCTGATCCTCTGTTGTGTTGCATTGATGTATATGTCTGTTTTTGTGCCACTACCATGTTATTTTTATTTTTATTGTTTTGGGTACTGGGGATTGAACTAGGGACCTTGGGCTTGGGAGGCAGGCGGTGGGACCACTGACCTAAATTCCCAACCCAGTACCATGTTATTTTTATCACTTTATCTTTATAATACAACTTGAAAGACCTTGCCTGCCTCGGAAGCTCAAGGTCCCAAGTTTGATCCCAGGTACAAAAAAAAAAAAAAAAAAGATGTTTACGTATAATACAACTTGAACTCCAGGATTGTGATGCTTTCAGCTTTGCTTTTGTTACCCAGGATTGCTTTTGCTATTTGAGGAGACTTCTAGTTCCATATGACTGTTAGAATTGTTTTCTGTAGTTCTGTGAGGACTGCTGTTGGCATTTGGATTGGGATTGTGTTAAATCTATATATCAGTTTTTGAAAGTGTGGCCATTTTGACTATACAGGTTCTGCCTATCCAGGAACAGGGGATATCTTTTCACTTTTTGATGTCCTCTTTGATCTTTTTCAGAATACTGTAGAGGCCATTCACTTCCTTGGTTAGTTTAATTCCTAAAATAGTGTTTATTTTTCTTGATGCTATTGTGAATGATATTGTCTTCTGATTTCTTAGTGGGTTCATTATTGGTGTACAGGAATATTAATGATTTTTGTGTGTTCATTTTGTATTCTGCTACATTGCTGAATTTGGTATTCTAGGAGTCTTGTGGAATTTTTGGGTCTTGTGTGTAGAGGATCATGTCCATTTTCAGATAATGGTCATTTTACTTCTTCTTTTCCAATACATGTTCCTTTTCTTTCTTTCTCTTGCCTGATTGCTCTGGCTAGTGTTTTAAATACTATATTAAACAGGTATGGTGATAATGCACATCCTTGTCTTCTTCCTGCTTTTAGAGGGAGAGCTCTCAGTTTTCTGCCATTTAATATGTTGGTAGTAGGTTTGTCAGGTTGATGATATGTTTCTTCTATAAGTATTTTATTCAGTTTTTTTTTTTTGGGTACCGGGGATCAAACTCTGGTCCCTGTGCTTGCACAGCAGGCGAGGAAACCACTGAGCTAAATGCCCGGCCCAATTCAGGTTTTTTAAAAATCATGAATGGATGTTGGATTTTGTTAAAGGCTTTTTCTTTTTCTATTTTTGTTGAGGTGATCATCTGATTTTTGTCCTTGCTTCTGTTTATGTGATGTATTAGATGTATTGATTTGTGTATGTTGAATCATCCCTGCATCTCTGGGATGAAGCCTACTTGGTCATGATAGATGACAGTGGTAGTAAACCTATGGCACATGTGTTATTTGTTTTTCTTTTTCTTTTTTTGGTGCCGGGGATCGAACTCAGGTCCTTGTGGTTGCGAGGCAGGCTGCGGAACCACTGAGCTGAATCCCTGGCCCTGTTTTTCTTTTAAGACAAAAATGTTAATGCATGAGTTGTTTTTCTAAACAAAAACCTCAGTATTCAAGTTTAATTGCAATATTAGCACTTTGAGATAAGTGGGTTTCGTGTTGCAGTTTGGGCACTCATCTAAAAGATTTGCCATCACTGATTTACTATATGATCTTTTGTTTGTTTGTTTGCTTTGGGTTTTTTTTTGGTACTGGTGATTGAAGTCAGGACCTTGTGCCTGCAAGCCAGGCGTGGTGCCACTGAGCTAAATCCCTGGCCCCATTTGCCAGTATCTTGTTGAGGATTTTTGCTTCTAGGTTTGTTAAAGAGATTGACCTGTAGTTCTCTCTCTTTTTTATGAGGATATGAATGTTTGTAAATATTCAAAATAGCTGCACACATCTGTTTTCATTTGAATGAAAAAAAATCACTGTGACAAATTTTACAGCCTTAATTTAAAATACATGAATATCAACATTTATTAATATATTTACATGTTTTATGTACGTAATCAACAAATCTTATGAAAAACAGGGTATGTTTTACACAGCAGGTTTTAAACAGTCTTTGAAAATTGACCTGGGAAATATGTACTGTGTTTAGTTAGGAAACATACTGCAACCTTCTCTGAATTTGTAGGTGATACCTATTCACACAAAAGACTCCCAAAGCCTCAGTTTAAAAAAATAAAAAACCAACTGGAGCAGATGTATTTAATCTTAAGATACTACAAAACTGCCTTGTTTAAAAATATGAAAATTCTTACTGCATTTTAAAGCATATTATTTTATTCTTCACATCAAAATAATTTAATTGAATATTAAGCATGTAATAAAAAGTTATATTCTATCACACATGATGCTATGCACTTCATTATTGGAAACAGCTACAGAGGTAGTTTTTGTAGAAAACTCTTGTGAGGTAGGGCCAGTAGAACCCCATTTTATTTTTTAATTTTATTTAAAAAATTTTTTTGGTACTGAGGATCGAACTCAGGACCTTGCATTTACGAGGCAGGCACAGTGCCACTGAGCTAAATCCCTGGCCCTGGAACCCTTTTTTACAAAGAAGGAAAATGAAATATACCATTTGCTAATGAAAAAGTTGAGGTTATATTTCTTCTCTTAAAAACACTTACTTAGCTTGACTAATTTCTTTTACAAGTAAAGAGGTTTGTTTTAAGTGGGGGGAAATGTGATTGAGGTATATGTCAGAGAGCAAAGAGAAGTACCTTCTACATTAGATATATAATTTGGGGAGTATATGAGAATGAAGCCTTGGGTTACCTGAATGCATTTAACTTAAACCATGGAAGTTCGTAACAGAGGACTGCAAAATCCTTCACAAAACAGTATTTGAACCTTATATATTTTCTTACCCAAATATCTTCTCAAAGTAAAATGTGAATTATCATCCTGGTGACAAATCAAGAGCTGTTTAACCCAGTGGGTTTAATTTGATACATATTACCCCCTCTGAGAATTAGATAAGTTAATAAAGCATTATAAAAATAAACTTTAAATAATAAAATAAATGAGACTTCCTTTCAGGTTCTTCTTGTTGTTCCTGTAAACACTCTTTAAAAAAACTTTAAAAATAAAAAATTTTTATTAGTACATTTTAGATGTACATAATGATTACATTCATCATAGGGAATTTTACCTGCACATAATATATCTTGATTCTTCTTTTTTCCCCAATCCCCTCCCCTCCCTTCAACCCAAACACTTTTTTTGTGTGTGTAGTTTTTCTTTCTTTCTTTCTTTTTTTTTCTTTTTTTGGTACCAGGGATTGAACTCAGGACCTTGCACTTGCCAGGCAGGCGCTGTGCCGCTGAGCTAAATCCCCCGCCCTTTTGTGGTGTTTTTGAGGCAGGTTCTCAGAGAATACTAAATTGTACTCACATTGAATTGCATCATTCCAGCAATTCTGAGGCATTACTGTTCCCGTTTAGTTTGGAGTTACTATAAGATGCAGATTCATGTTGGGTATGTGCAGCCAGAGTTCACTATCTAAAGATTCATAAAGCTTAATGGTTTTACTTGTAAAGGTAGAGGGAGTGGGGAACTGGAGAATGAGAAAAGTAAAATTTGAAAGATTAATCAGTGGAAGATGATGAGGAGGAGAGAAAAGTGAAATAGGGGATCCTATGGAAGAGTAAAAGGAAATTAATAGTATTAGGTTAGAGCAGAAAAGAATGAACAAAAAAAGAAAAAAGGAAAAACAGCAAAATAAAGGACAAAGAGAAAAATAAAAAAAGAGGAGAAAAGAAAAAATACTCTCCCCCCAAAAAAACAATGAAGGAAAACAAAGTAAGTATAAAACAGAAAAATGGACTCAATTTAAAAAAAAAAAAAAAAAAAAGAAAACCTCTATGGGATTTTAAACGAGTAGTTTTTCTTTCCAAAATCTGCACTTTTCAAATCCAGCAAGTTGTTAGCAAGACACTAACTAAAGAGGTCTCTGCTTAGTGAGTTTGTGAGGTCCCTTCCCTGCTCCGGAGTCCCCTCTGTCAGTTCATCCCAGACTGTGGCAACTGTCCAAACTGAGGCATGTTCTTGCGCATGTGAGTAGGTGGAAAAGCAGTCAGCTCTCTGGTTTCTGCTAGATGTAGGGTGTGGGGTGGGGGTTCAAGCAGACTTCTGGACTTACTGCTAACACTTTGAGTTCCAGTGTCCTCTGAAAGCCATACTCACTGAGCCGGGTTTCTCACTATGGAGGGTAGGGCCTGTGTCTTCCCTGACCTAAACTTCTTAGTGGGTCTGTGTCTAGTTTGTGCCCTTTCTGTGATTGTCTCCTGTGGCCGACTCTCACTCAGTCACTGTTGGAGCCTAACACTAGAAACCCTGAAGTGGAGTTGGTCTGTAGTTGTTCTGAGGCTGTCTTAAACCCTTTCCTAAGTGGAATCTGATTAAACTCTGGCAAGATGGCAGGTGGTACACTGGGTTTCTTCTGTACCTCTAGCCTTCTGTGACGGAGTAACTTTTGGAGTAAAAAACCCCATGCTGTTTTTGTAGTTTACAGTAGCCATGGGTTTTTCTTGAGGCTAGTGCTTCTGGCCAGGTCCGTATTTGCTCGTTTGGTCTGCTGTCCCTCTGGGCATTGGCCTCATTCACTGTCAGGTCATGGGTTAGTTGGTGTCTCTGCTGCCCCACGTGAAGAGGAAACAAAATGGAGAGCTGACTTGGAGTTGGCAGGCAGTTGTGGCCAGGGTGCAGAATCCTTTTATATGGAGTTGGTCAGGTATCAATGGGTGAGGCTGTTATAAAATATCTTATAAAATGTTATAAAATCTCCATAGCCTAAATAATTTTCCTTTTTTCCACTTAAAAATGCCCCCCCCTTCTTTTGGTGAATGCTGTGTGTGTGTGTGTGTGTGTGTGTGTGTGTGTGTGTGTGTGTGTTTGCTGGGGATGGGCCTTGGTACGTGCTAGGGGTGTATTCTGCTGCTGAGCCACAATCCTAGTTCTAAAAAATGTTTTCTTTTTTTTCTTCCCTCCCTCCCTTTCTTTGTTTCAGTATAAGCTTTTTACAGCTGGCCAAAGCTGCAAGCCCAGATCCTGTCCAGAATCATTTTAAAAGCCAGGCAAGGTGGCATACGGCTGTGATCCCAGCACTTGGGAGGCTGAGGCAAGAGGATTACCATGAGTTTGAGCCCACCCCCCACTACATAGTGAGTTCAAGGCCAGCTTGGACTATATAGTGAGACCCTGTCTCAAAAAAACAAAACAAAAAGAATCATTTAAAAGTGTTTTTGGACATGTAGCTGTGATACATAGATAGTTTATAAACATGCTTTTATTTCTCCTGTCATGAAAAAGTCCCTCTTTACTTTCTTGTGTAGCTATTGTTCTGTTTATTTCTTTTCTCTTGTAACAAAGCTGGTCAGATTTAGCTGTAGTCACTGTTTCCAGTTGCTTTATTCTTTCATGTATCTTCTCCATTTAAGCTTTTTATCCTTCTCTCCCGAACTGCTGTCATTGAAGTTCTTGGGACTTTTGCTTTGCTATCATCAGAAATCACTTCTTAGCTCTCCTCACCCTTCATCTGTTTGTAGCATTTAATAATCTCTCCTCCTTGAAATACTTTAACTTGGCATACTTCTCTTTTGTCTCCCTCAGTTCCTCCAGTGCAGTGTTGTAGGCACCATCGCAAAGCTGAAGATGCCCGAATTTGTGCTTCATGTTCTTGTCTTTTTATGTTAATTCTGTTTTAAGTTTCTTTCTTTCTTTTTTTTTTT